CGTTCATTAAATATAATTTAAAACTACTTAAATATGATATTTTGATGTTGTTAATTAAGACAATATGTATGCAAATAATTTCAATAGGATTTAATTTTTTTAAATTGGCAGCGGGTTTTAGTCCCATAAGAAAAGCCTATACCTCCCTAAAACTGAATTACTAAGTTATAGAGAAGTAATTAAACGCAAATAAAGTTTCTACATGGGAAAAAGAATTTAATTCCAATAACATCGACTTGGTTTCAATTAGAATAAAAGATGTATATAAATACAAGTAACCCAATCTCAGTTTATTGTTACCAATTAATTTATTTGGCCAATTACCTCGATACAAAATAATAATAGATAGTTTATTTGTCTTTACCAAATACAACCTGCTATTATACTATAGTAATATATGTTAATTTTATTATTTATCACAGTCATTGCTATAAAAACTACATACTATGTACAATGTGCAACCAAATCGCATGTATTCGTCAACTGTTGTGAGACTACTAGATAATGGCCTGGCTTTAGTTTCGCATTTGAATAAAAATGCCATTTGTGAAGGAATATTTGTTTACTAGTTGGCAGTAGTAGGTTCTTATAAAATTTATGGCTCTGCCAGTCACTGTGGCCAATTCCCTATCAAATTACCCGACACGTTGTTTTAAACCTTGTAGTACATTGTCTGGGAATTAGTTTCGGTGTTTAATGCTGTTCACCTGCGGAGCGATCGGCGAGTTTTTGTTCTTTTAGATTTATGAGCATTTTTTTCTAAAATAAAACGCTGTTATTAAAACCTCGGGACATAGAATGAGTAAAGTGGTATATGTAGCGCAACGCTCGCGTTTGCGTTAAACGATTTGTCTTAGGCACTTTACATAAAGTATGGTTGGAATATTTGGTTTAACAGAATGAAAAAAAAAGCATGAATATATATTACCCCCACTTTTACCAAAGTAAGTATTCAGAAAATACCATACTGTAAAGTATCGAATTACAATTCAGTAATATGTACTTGTAAAATTGTTTAATTCGCATATTAAAAAAAAATCAATATATCTGTTATTATTCAAAGACAGCATTGGTTCGAAAGATCAACAATCCGATAATGAGAAAAAAATATCGTGGGAAAGTAGAGAGTAGTAGTAGTCTCTTAAAATACTCTGGAGGGATTGGCAAACATTGACAAAAACTTATTTTCTCTTGTTAATTAAACTAATTTAAGCTATTAAAAATTGTCAAGGAAGTTGTGAATTACATTTTTAATCTAAAATCTATTTCTATTTAATAAAATTATATTTTTACTTAATTTTCTTTTTACATATACAAGGTGATTCAGTCATAATGTCATTAATTTTAAGCAAGTATTCGAAAGACATTAAAAAAGGCAGAAAAACGAAAAAATAATTATCTCGACCTTTTAAAAAATAAGCAAATTACCCTTTAACTCCTGTTAACTCGGCGCCCTACTTCGTAATAGGGAAAAAATATCTTATTCATTCATGTGTCTATATAGCTAAAAAACTGTTAGCTGTTTATTTGTTGCAGTTCACTGCGGATTGAAAACGCATTAAAAGCTAGGTTACTGACCGAATGTTAAGATTCACTCTCGATAAACCTTTGTAGGTCGGCGGTCAGAAGCGGTCTGAAAAAGGATTTAACTAATGATTTGAAAATATTTATTTTAATATGCATTTTAATTTTTTTAATCGCGTATGCATATCCTACTTATTTTTCCCTATTTTTTCGTAAAATTAATGATATTATGACTGCCTAATTCTGTTAGTCAATAATAGGACGTGTTATTNGCGTTATTTTTTTTTAATCACGTATGCCTATCCTACTCATTTTTCCCTATTTCTTCTTAAAATTAATGATATTATGACTGCCTAATTCTGTTAGTCAATAATAGGACGTATTATTAAAATTTTTTTTTTTCAGTTTATTTGTTTTTGAGTATACTAAATTTAGTTCGTATTTTCCATATTCTCAGACCCGCCAAGAGCTCTTACAAATAAATAATAATTGATAGCGGCAAGAAACTCGCATCTGGATCTCACCCGTTCCCTAATAATAAATTAAAAATAGCAGACCAGAAAATAAATCCACCGTAGCTAGTGGGATTCCGATCCGCAAAGAGTTCATATATCTCTCCGCGAGTAGCATCCTAGATCCTGCCGACTAAAAACCGATTTAACGAAATCCTTGTATAAATACATACGAAACAGAACAATAACAGGCACGAGGAGATAAGCGTTATAGTTGGATCCGCTCCGTCGTCCCGTGATATATGTACTCGGTATTTTATGAAATGCGACGCGAATTTTTATATTATTTTTAATAATAATGTCGCCGGAACACGGCGTTGTCCTCTTATTTACATAAATAGAGAACACAACGTCCCATATATTTTACCTAGCCGACTGAATAAAAATGCACCTACTACATCCGCTCTGACATTTGCATTTTAAGGGCCACAAAAAATTACAAAAAAAAAGTAATGTTAGAAAATAATACAGACAAAAATATTGCTAGATGTGACATAATCTGGCTAAATATGAGCTAAATAAATCACTGCACTGATTCGGCAACATACCTACATATTAATTTTTTTGAAATTATAAAATTATGTTAGTGTACAGATGACTAGTGATGGGACACTAGTCTTCAGACGCCTTTAGATACATTAAGATTTTTTTTTCAAATTTCAACCCCCAATTTTGAAGCATTTCCAAGTAGGTACAAGTTTATCGATATTTTTTTAATTTTTTTGAACGGAATCTCTACTAGAACTTGTCTATTTAGTCAATCACTCTGTTTACAAGATCCGTAAGTGAATGAACCATATTTCAAGGATAACTTTCTGTGGTAAAAATAAACCGATTTAGATCAAAATTATAATTTTGCTTCCTTAAAAAATTTTATAACTTAGTTTTAGGTAGAAAATAAGCTAATATTCATAATCGGCCTTTTTTTAAGGCCGATAACGTTTTAATTAAGGCAAATTGTACTAAATGATACATTGAAAAATGGACCATTCGCTTCTGGTCACTCTGTGTATATCCCTAAAGTCAACTTTACTGTTTTTTAAAGGTTTTCGTTATAAATACAATGTTTTTATATGGTAATGACGGACAAAGTTCAATATTACGTTGTCCTGAAGAGTAAACAAATTAAAAATATACTACCATTATTTTCCTTCATAAAAGTGATTTAAATATGTAGATGTAACGTTTATGTATTTACTAATGTAAAAAATATATATTGTTGTTGTTTGTGATGCTTTATTTTTCTACTAATAGGCCAGGAGAAAGAGCTGGTAAATGAGCATTTCGCGACTTTTTGTTTCGGCAAGCTGAATTTATCACTATAGATGCTAAATATTATGTACAATAACATATTAATTTCCACATTCATAAAAATGGGGAGAAGATTGTTTACAGGCTGGTTAATTGTATAATTTTTACGTAAATTCACGTTTTTCGCTTATAACTTTTTTCCGTTCATTTCCACGAGAAAACAGTAAAGCACTTTTTTTCGTCTTCAAATGACCTACAAAACTAGCCCTCGAGCGTCAAAAAATATTGATTAGATCAAAAGTTATAGACAGAAAAGGAGTTTATTTATGACTTTTGAATTAAACATTTATAAACTGCGTTATTATTACCAGAACGTTTTGGCATCGCATCCTCTCATTCCTTATCACTGTCTAATAACTCACACGAAATCTGGAATCGGTAAGTTGAATAGTTTACAAGTTATGGCCTTATAAACAAATTAACTAATTATTAGTCTGGACGATCCCGAGGATCTTCCACAATCGCACTGATTTTTTTCATGGTAGATTTCATAATAATACATTGAAATCTATAATTTTTTTTTATTTCAAATTTGCAAGGAAATTTTTTTTATTTTTTAACCTTAGTTGCAAAATGAAATATACGACGCACACGCGTGATATAGTTATATATTATTACATATTCGGAAAGCTTATGAAAACAGCTTTAAGTTTAAAAAAAATCGTCAAGATTCGTTGAAAAACAACGGAGTTACAGACTCAAAGTTGTTAAACAAATTAGGTTGGTAGCGGCAAAAAAAAATACTGTCATAACCGGCAACCCGAGTACTTTCCCATATAAAAATATTTTATTTGTGGAAGTATGTTAAGTGCATAAGAAATATTGTCAAAAGTCAGTGGGTCGCTTGGTTTTTCGGCGAGCCATGGCGCGGCGGAAGGGTGGGGATGGAAAAAGTACTTTACTGTTTTCTCGTGGAAATGAACGGAAAAAAGTTATAAGCGAAAAACGTGAATCTACGTAAAAATTATACAATTAACCAGCCTGTAAACAATCTTCCCCCCATTTTTATGACTGTGGAAACTAATACATATGTTATTGTACATAATATTTAGCATCTATAGTGCTATTCAGCTTGCAGAAACAAAAAGTCGCGTACAACTCTATATTTCCTGGCCTATAAGATTTTAAATGTATTAGATTATAAATACATAAAGAAATGGAGGAGACTAGAAAGTGGACTAAATATTTAGTGTACCTGTTCCTCAACTTTGGTTTTCAATATCGTAATACATCTACGTAGAATCCTAATATTTGAAGTATTTTTTCATATGTATCCTTAAATCAACTTTACTGTGTTTCAAAGGATCATTTCGATATGGAATAAAACTTTCATATCAAAGTTAAACTGAAAATATATATTTTAAATGTGTTGTTCCATTTTAATTTAATATCCAGTAATTCATTCCATGTTTATATACGGTAATGACGGGCAAAGTTTAGCATCAACTTGTCCCGAGAGTAAACAAGTTAAATATACACTGCAATTTTTATCATTCACAATATATATGTAACTAGATATTGCGTCTAATATTTATATATTTTATTAATATGTATGTATACACTTGAACAGTTACAATAAACCGTTTGCAATATAGGAAGATATTACCTACCATGTCAAATTTAAAATCCTAAATGTTTTTTTTTTTGTTTCAGATTCGAAAAATATCATCGGCAGCCATGTACCTCCTATTCCTAGGCGTCCTGCTAGCAGTTTCGTCGACTGCCGACGCGTTGCTGGGATGTCCCGCCGGATGCATGTGCAACGACGACACCTACGTCGTACAGTGCGAAAGGAGCAAGTTGGATGTCATCCCCATCACCCTAAACCCCGCCATTCAACGGCTCGTGTTGAGAAGCAACAAAATTAAAACGGTGGACGCCTCGTTTCAGTTCTACCGAGACCTGCAGTACGTCGATTTGTCCAATAATCACCTAGTGAACATCCCCACTAAGAGTTTCTTACACCAGGAAAAGCTGCAAGAGCTCCACCTCAACAAAAACAAGTTATCCTCCATCAACAATAGGACGTTCCAGGGACTGAAATCGCTGACCGTTTTAAACTTGCGCGAGAACTTCTTAGAGGAGTTGAGCAGAGGTTTATTTTCAATTCTCCCGAAACTAGAGGAACTAAATTTAGGTCAGAACAGAATATCTAAAATAGACGCTCCAGCCTTTGACGGTCTCTTGTCTTTGAGGGTATTGTATTTAGACGACAACTTGTTAAGCTCCGTGCCCACTCCGTCTTTTCCGGTCCTGGGGAGCTTAGCGGAGTTACACGTCGGGCTAAATGCATTCACAACTTTGCCTGATGACGCTTTCAAAGGTCTGGGAAAGCTCTCGGTGCTAGACATCAGTAGCGCCGGTCTCTGTAACGTTAGCGCCAACGCCTTCAGGGGACTAACTGGATTACGCAATTTGAACTTGGCCGACAACAAACTGACGCAAATCCCTACCGAGCATCTCTCGCATTTGGCACGTTTGGAAGAACTAACGATTGGCCAGAATGATTTTGCCACTATACAAAAAGGCGCATTCAAAGGACTAACTAATCTAAGGAAGATTGATATCACTGGTGCTAAATATTTAGAACATATTGAGAAGGGTGCTTTCAGCGATAATTTAAACCTGGAAACTATCATTTTAGTTAGTAATAAGAAGCTAGAGAAACTAGAGGACGGTACTTTGGTGGGCCTTCCGAATCTGAAGCACTTGGTTCTGAGGGAGAACTCCTTCAAGACGTTATCTGAGTCGATAACGTCCTGGAATGAACTGCGTGCTTTGGAATTGACAGACAACCCCATCAACTGCGACTGTCACTTACTCTGGCTGTTGAACTCGATAAATTCGAAGAACCTGACCAACGTACAGTGCTCGACGCCTTTACAACTGAGGGATAGATCCCTGAGAACCCTAACTGCCGACGACTTGGGTTGTTCCTTCAGCGATCCCCGCCAACAGGCCATTATAATCTTCTGCCTGAGCGCCCTAGGGCTCCTGGCCGTACTGGGGCTGCTGCTTTTTCGTTACCGTCAGAGAGTGCGTGAGGCGCTCAAGGACTACAAGTGGAACAAGCGCGCCATCAGCAGGAAGGAGCACGAGTACCAGAAGACCTTCTCCGACGACGACTACATCACGCGTTCCGGTCAACACCATATCAAACCGATACCTGTGACGGAGTTGTAGCTAGAGCTTAGCGCGCCGCCCTCAGGGGTGTTTTGTCTTGACGGGGAGGGCAGGCGTGCTAGGGGTCCGCGAGGACCGGGGGGCACCTTGCCCGTCACTGGCTTCACCTACATCACGGGTGAGTCCTGCAGGGCCCACTCCATGAGGGCCCTCAACGATAACCGGAACGGATTGCCCAAGTGTCACGCCGCGGACCTTTACCAACATTAGTTCGGGCATGGAGCACAGTTACTGAGCAATAATGAATGAATCCATTCCAATGTGTGATTTTACGAAATATTAGAGACTGTACAGTAGCCGCTAAGTATATTTTTTCGTTTACGACAAAAATACTATCCAACATGTGTCGTCTCCTAGGCAATATGTGATATTTATCACGGTCCGAGTCTGGAAATTAATGGACCACACTGCAAGGGTAACTTCCTTTAATTAAGCCTATTTAAATCAAGCTGTTTTAGTTTTCATAAAAAGTTATGGGCATTCAATCATTTTTTTATTTCATTCTTTTAATATAACTCCATTTTTTAAAATATTAGGATAAAATTTAGTATAAAGGTGATTTTGAGTAGCTGAAGATGAATTCATGCCTACTTTTTACGTAAAACATAGAAGTTGATAAGAGTATCTTTTTATTGATAGAGATTTTGAAAAACGATCCGGTTTATTTACTGCAAAAAATGCATTGCTTCAATGAAAAAATAGATTTCAATGTTACACAAAACCCAATATTTGGAATATTAAAAACTAAACTGCCAATGTTGCCAACTTTTTCCTTTGTTAAACACTTTCTTGATTTTAATTAACTTTCCTCTATTGAAAAGTCAAAGTTACTGAGATATGCCCCTAAATGAATTTCGTAGAACTACTATAATAGAATGACTCTCATTGGATGCTAACACTTGAATTAAGATAACTCAGTATAAATTGTAGAAAATATTTAATATAATTTAAATAAATTACATTACGTTTTGTTTTTCAAAATCTCTGCCCACAAACAAGAGACAGATATTATGTTTTAAGTAAAAAAGTAAACTTATATCCATTTTTTATTACTCCATAAATTCCCCTATATATGTATAGTTTACTTAAACTTCTGAAAAAGTGACTTATGTTACTCGTTTGCCGGCCAGTATCTTTTTAATGAAACAAAATATAACAAAGATAACGTGATCTAAATATGTTTATGTCCATCAGGTACCCTTGAAGTATGACCCATTCGTTTTCATATACCCTGTAAGGTCCCAAAAATGAAACAATCCCCAACATTGCATTGGATACTTTTTCATTCAAGCGAATGAAAAATAGTTTCTGCTGATGGTCATATGTTGCACAATCTTCATTGGTGGACCCAGTAATTGTAGAACGACTGATTTAATTTCACATATTCCTTAGGAAACGAGACAGATAGAACAGAGGCGTAATAACAAATTAGGATAAAATGAATTACGTTTAAAACGTGTCTGTCTAGTGTGAGCATTATAAATCATGTCATTCGTTATACTCGTGGTTTTGGTGAGATCCGAGGTGTACAGTTATGTAAAGTGTTGTCAACTTTATCCCAAGGAAATATTTCTAAATTAAAATGTCTTGCCTCTTTAGTGATATTTCCAAGAATGTATTAACTGTACACATGAATTATAATGTGAGCGAAATGTCGGATTTACAGAATGATGTTTAACAAAAAAAAAAAAGAAGAAGAAAATTCAAATGTGATATTTTATGACTGCGTATGTTTAGTTGTTGTGCCGTCAGATGTTTTTAGTTTTTCTGGCCGTTCTTTTACGTGTACAATTTGTATATATTAAAAATCTGATACGTTGCACTCTCTAAATTATGTGGTCATAGCATAGCACTGAGTACTTTTTAACAGATTTTGTATTTTCAATTATTTTGAAAATATTTAAATCGATGTATATAATATGCAATATTTCTATATATATTTGTATATATTCTAAATCTAGCAAAGTGTAACGTTCTATATTTATTAATTTTTTATTGTATGAACGAATTTATAGATGGTAAATACTGCATTCCCAACAAAAATATACAAAAAGTACGAATGTGGCGATGAATCACTTGTATAAATTGTTTTGTTTTTAAAATATTTATCTTTAATTTCTGTTTTAGAAAGAAAATGTACTATTTATTTTTGGTATTTATTTCAGCCCAAAATTGTGTATATCAGTAAACACAATTATGAACTAGTCATAGTAAATTATTATAGCTGGAGTGAATGGACTTTGATTTTGTGAGTGCAAAGGTATTAAGGCATTTTATATTGTACATAATAAATTTAGTGTTTTGTACATATTGACTTTATCTTAACTATCATACTTATTTACAATAAACAAATTTCAGACCTTAAATTGTGTTTTATTTCGTACTTGCTATCTAAAAATACTTACAAAATATAAAAATAGCAGTAGCCACAATTTTTCAAAGAACATTAATTAAATTATAAAAATAATGTAACAGAGATAAATTGCTACAAGTTTGATTTTTTACATGACCTCAAAAATCTATAATATTGAAAATAAATTTGCTGCTGTCCTTTTTACACAATCAAAGAAGTTGAACTTAAATGTTGAGTGTAATACACAAAATTGTCAATTTATATTCATGACAATAAATTCATGAAAAAATGGCTGATTAGAATGTGTTATTTATATTTTCAATAAATTAATGAATTTCTTTTTAATAAATATTAACATTTTTTCAGTCATTTTTAAACAAATTAAATTTGAAAAACTAAATTCTCAGTAAATGCATATGTCAATACAACTATTTAGGTACAAAATCAACTAATGATCGAAATTCTACAACGCCTGTGAGCTTGGGAGAAATGAATTGAAAATAGCATCTTCTTAGATAACAAATTCCGCCAACGCCAAACCAATTAAGCTTTCGGGCTGAAATTTTTACCACTTATTAAGGGTGTAAAAAGCCTCAAAAATCCTGAATTACAAGTGTCTACGATGAAAATTGCACTAATTATTAACAATTGAATGAAACGGCCATTTTCGACCATTTTTGAGCTCTTGCACATAAACAAATTATCCGAATTTAATCGGACTTGTCTCATTTTAAAGGTTTATTATTTAATACCTACCTTTTTTGTATAAACCTCTTTTCGCTATGAATAATAGTTTTTTTACGCGAGTTAAAAAACCACTTTTCCATAACTTTGACCATTGTTTAAATAAAATTTCCCAACTAGTCTCGAGTTGATTTTTTGATATTTCATTTATAACACATTTCCGAACAATATTCCGCAGAAAAACTTCTAATATTTTTTTCCCGAAACAGGCTGTTCTATGTCTATAAATGAATGGACTATAGTTCTTCAGTGCATTTCATGATAGGAATATCGTCCGTATTTATGTACTTGACAAAAATAACGGCTTGTCAAACAGTTAAATAGTTGATTTAATTGATATGTATTCTATGACATTAAGTACCTATAGTACGAAGTCTTGATGTCATATTGTTGTGAACGGTGGCAAAATACTCATTTTCTATGTTCAAACATGACTTTCTTGGTTCACACAGCGTATTGAAATGTCTGGTTTTGCAAAAACCCATCTATTTATTATTCCGTCAAAAACGGTACCTACTTATAATTTCCAGAAAGAAATTTTTCAAAATAGGGTCTCTACTTAATCAGTTAATTACTTTGTTGAATTATCTCTTGAGAAATGAATTTTATGATGACCAGAAACTAAACTCAAGACGACCCAGGTAGCCATTCTCTCAAATATATGAATGTACTTCATTTGTGAGTACTACATGTATTTTATATCATTTTTATTGAAAGAAGTAAGAACCAATATATTTTAATCCTATATATTTAAATTTTCAATTTTTATTGGTACTTACCCACTAAATTACATTAGGAATGTCATAAACACATATATAGGTAAGTACATACACTGGAAACTTCAAGATCTGTTTAAAAAAAATTAAGAACCTCTTCAATTATTATTATAAGAAAATCAGTTTTTGTACGTAGCTTACTTCCCAACCATTTTTTAAATCATTTTTCGAAATATTATTAAGAATTTATTTTATCAATAACTCAATGTATTAGTTACAGCACAGAATATATACAGGCACTTACTTTTCTTAAAAGGAGCATGAAATGATCAAAAGTCGTAACACTTCATAGATGGAGACACATTGACCTTTTCTTAATTTTCTCATTAGGATTTGTACTGATAAATATTTCATAAAGAACTAGCATAATTCAACTTCTCGTTAATAGATGTCGCCTTCACGAGAAATGTGGAAGTATATCTAATAAAGTTTCGTAGAGGGCAGTGAATTTCTGAACTAAAAAATTGGCCGGCTGTCGGTTGCAATAGAGGTCCAACAAAATAATTACATTGAACTGAGGAAATGGATGGTGCAACTAATTTGGTCACTTGGAAACAAAAAACTATGAAATACAGGTGTTCCGCCGCCGCTTTTTACTTTTTATCTTATATTTTACATTTATTTTTATTCTCATTTAGTTTCTTGCCGTTTTCGCTCATATTCAATATTCAACTGCCGCTCTTCTTATAATTTATATCATTTCATTATTTTTATTCATTTAGTTTCTTGCCGTTTTCGCTATAGTATAGTGTAGTGATTTATTATAATACGCGTAAAATGCCGAAAATTTTTGGAAAAAGAAAGAAAAGGACTAATCGTGCCAAATCCATTAAATTAAGTTGGATCAAGAGACACGAAAAACAGTACGTATGCAGTTTTTATTATTTGTTTATCAAAAGAAATAGAAAAATCACGTTATTTTTCATTCATAATAATTATTTCTTCCATTTTAGAAACAATACTACTTCCGGAAACGTGGATTGTGAAAATAATGTGGAATGTGACAAAAGTGACAATATGGATTTTAGGTGTAGGTTTAGATTTTTTCAGGAAGAAATTATAGACATTTTTAATTAAATATTCGATAATTTTGTCCATGAGTGTAGTTATTTATTAAACATTAATTCATAACTAGTGAAAAATTAAATTGGATTTTTTTTTAATACCTACTGATTGACATTTAAAATGTAATGAAATAATTATTTTGACCATCGGTAGTTTTGTTAGCTATAATGATTTTTCTTATGAAAATGGTAGACACGCCGTCAGTATGCACTGCTTTAAAAAATGTAACATTTCTCCGAAACCGTCGATTTTACCGAATCCAAACAGGAGTATATTTTTCTTAGCAAATCGTTTGTGAAACATATTTTTAATATTTGCAGATCGTGATCGTTATCCATGTGAAAATTTTGGCCTATTATCCACCGGGCCTAGTCCGTCTGGCACTTTTTTTTTTGGGGGGGGGTGAAATTACTTAATTATTATTATTTTATTATTATATTATTATTTAATTAAAAAAGTTATATCTAGTTCTGATATTATTTTGACCTCATCTCCACACTCCCGAAGCTCGGGACACCCTGTATGTATATCTATTGTAAGAAATAACTGTAAATAAAAATTATATCAAACATTTATTGATTATTTGAATAATTTCAATCCTCAGCTGCCATTGAAGAATAGGTACACAAAAAAATTTTTTCTTAGTTTCAAAGAAATATAAATTTGTTTTTTTTTTATAATAATATTAAAAACATTTTTTTTTTCAATGAAGTGTTATATTTTCTAGAAAAAGCGCTTTTTGCTCCAGAAAATTATTTTTCTTACGTTTCATAAACTGCATAAAAAGTTTACAAGATTGTTAAAATAATTGCAACAATGTAGTTATGAAACTTTCGATTTCATAATTATGATCCACACAAAAAAAATGGAGTGGACTGATTCAATATAGGTATGAGATGTGCCGATCCACAAGGAGATATTGTGTACCAAATGTAGTTTGTCTTAATTTAATCAATAGTTTTATTAAAATTTTTAACAACCTCGAAAATGAATGAGTTTTGGACATTTGTTTAGAGAAATTTTTTTTCAGAGGTCCCTAATCACCCTTATAGTTTGTTCTTTGTTCCACATATTAAAAAACACCCTATATATTACCAAAGTGTAAACCGCCAAAACCATCATCCTTCATTGAGGTATTAAGGTATATTCACATCAAACACTCGGCATTGTCGGGTGATACCTGTGTCTCTTTCTAGTGTGTGTATTAAAAAAGGGACCCTGATATCGTCTGACAACGCCGACCGCTTCATGTGAACACGCCCTTACTTAGGCAATGCTATCAATTACTGCGAAAACAAAACAGGTTTCTGCAAAGCGGCATCGGTACTGCCATCTGTGACAGAATGTCCAAACTGCCCTGTATACATATGTATATACGCTTGGGTGCACATCGCGGCTGATAAACATGGCTGACATGGCTGACAAATAATAATTTTACAAAAATCTGTTCATTGTCATTATTAGTAACCATTTAAATCCAATTTTCAGGAAACCCTTTACTGAAGACTATATGCAGGAAATGACAAATTTTAGTCACGATCTGTGACACGAATAATTCATTTGTTATTGAACTTCAATTGTTTATAACTTTAATAATACAAGGTATTTTGCAATAAAAAATATGTCAAGTCCTAGCCCAATATTCTATCTACATACGTATTACTAAATGCTATTAATAAACTATACGGTTTTTGAAATGAACAGATTTTGGTAAAGGTCTATTTTCGATATATCTTTTCATGCCCCTCTTAAAATTGTCGTTTTTGACATCTATGAAATATAAATAAAATTAATAACTTATAACCAACATTCATAGATGTCGTCGACACGTAACATATATGCTGCCATCTATGACATTGCCTGAATAACAAAACAGAACCTATTACAGAGATTATTTTATGATTCTCTACTTCGTCAAAAGAGGGAAACAACATATAAAATCAAATCAGCCGGGTTTATTTTGACATTTCTGATTGTTTGTCAAGAAAAATCATCAAGTGAATGAGAAAAATGGCAGACGTTCTAACAGAAACTGTTCAGCCAGAAGATTTGAAGGTAATCAGCCCCGATGTCCTTAAAACACTTTGATTCATTTACTAATACTATTTTAATGGTGACTGCCAGGTCACAGTTCAAGTGACGAATTACTCATACCGTTCAGATTTTTCTAGATGATAATTGTTTAAACCTTTTCAGAAATTCGAAAAAATATATCACGAGCAGTTGTATAAAAACGATGTAACGCCAAAAGCTCAGTTTGAATACGCTTGGTGTTTAGTGCGAAGCAAATACCCAGCCGATATCCAAAAGGGTATAGTTTTATTAGAAGAACTATACAAAACACATGAAGACGGCCAAAGAGATTATTTATATTATCTTGCTATAGGTACTGCAAGATTGAAGGAATATTCCAAAGCATTGAATTATGTACGATCATTCCTTGCTATAGAACCAGGTAATTTGATATGTGGGAAGTACAGAGCATTAAAATAGCCCGCATTAATCATTAATGATTCTATTAGACTCGATTAGGCAATCTTGAAATCGCTTAATTATGATGCAATAATGTGTCACATACCTATTTGAATTTGTTTTTCTTTTAGGAAACCAGCAAGTTGTATCATTACAGACTACCATTAAAAAGAAAATGGAAAAGGAAGGGCTTGTCGGCATGGCTATGGCGGGAGGTGTTGTTTTAGCAGTTGGTGCCATCGTTGGCGTTGGTATGGCAATTGCTAACAAAGTAAAATCATAGTTCTTCCTTTGTAGTCTAAAGTTTTTTTGAATATATTTAAGTCAGTGTTTTTAAGCACCAAATTAAAATTAAAAAATTTCTGTATTTTCATTTTTTTATAATAGACATAGCCATTAAAATTATTTCAATTTTTTATATTTCATTTGTGAGGTTCATATATTTATTTATTTTTTCGTTTTAGAGCCTAATTATATAATTTCTTATAATTAACCAACAGAATTTTTAGATATAAATGTTTTCTCCAAACCTAAAAGGTTAGGTTGTACTACAATTATTATATGTTGAAAATCTTTGATTTATAGTTCCTTCTTATCAGAAACGGTTCTGTCACAGTTATAATATTATTTGATAGAATTTGAAAACGTACACTCAATTATTGTAGCTTTGGCACATATTGTCATGCTAATATAAATGTAAGCATTGCTCTCATTTTAAATGAAAAATTTTAATTAGAGCCATTACTGGATTATCATGAAGAAAATTAATTTCCTTTTTTTGTAAATATAAATGTAAGTATATAGACTGTCAATATGTGTTGTTATAAATAAAGGGTACTACAACTTTGTATCAATTTTGTTTGAAATATTACTTAGTTTTATTTAATGTTCTTTATTCCCAATTTTTATTTGTATATCAATATACTGTGTATCTCACTTAACAGTTTAACATGTAACATTTTTTAATCAAAAAAACTTGAAACAAGTTGATTCAGTTTTAAGTGAACATATTGTAAGATAGTTACATAAATATTTTCTTTGTTTTTGATATCTCCAACCAAATCTCCCCATAAAATCGTTTAAGTAATTTAAAAGTGAATTGGGTATATTTTTTCAAAGAACGCCTAAAACTTTTGAAATAAGCGCCTTCTGGCTAATTTACGAACTGCGCAATTTATCCAGTCGGTAAAAAAGTTACCCAAAAAGTTGTGATGTAAATAGTTTTGAAAGAGTTCAAACAAACGTTAAGCAATTAACATCTGAATTATTCTGGTAAATCTTCTTATTTATATATACAGCGCTGTATTGTTTCATTTGCAGTACTGGCAAAAATAATTGTGTTTTAAAAACTTTGTATAAATTTAGCTGGAAGTTTGAGGTTATGCAAACAAGTGATCTAACCATTTTTTACTTCAGGTAACTAGCGAGTATTAATGATTAAAAAATGCCGTCGTCAGTGCGGCCCAAGGGCTCAGGTAGTGGAAACAGAGCACAACCTGTAACTCCCATGTCAGAAAGGCAGCAAATGGCACTGTTACTGCAGATGACATCATCTGGTAATGAAGTAGGTTCTAGAAGTCCCAGTTCCAGTTCATCTCGTTCCAGGGACCGCAACGAAAGAGGTGAAACTCCATTGCATTTAGCTGCTATTAAGGGGGACGTAGAACAAGTCTGTAAATTGTTGGCACACCGTGCCGATCCTAATGTAGCTGATTTTGCGGGTAATTCCTTTCAAACTCACTATTTCGACATATAATATACATGCTAAATACTAATCTATGACAATATGAAAAGGGGGTTGCGATTACAATGCTGCGTTTGTGAGGAACTGTTAATTGTGTATATTTTAGGTTGGACTCCGCTACATGAAGCTTGCAACCATGGTTGGTACGAGGTGGCTTTCAGGTTAGTACAATCAGGTGCTAACGTGAATGCTAAAGGTCTCGATAATGATACCCCTCTACATGACGCTGCCATAAACGGTCATCTTAAACTTGTTAAACTTTTAGTTGAACGGGGTGCTGACATCCATGCCAAGAATTCCAAAGGTAAAACACCTCTGGATGTGGCTCCGCAAGCGGTTAAACCGTATCTGCTTGATGCTAGTTTACCGCTGTCAGGTAAGATACACTTTCTCTGTCATTTATAAATCTAATAGCATTTTTGCTATCAAATATTAATATTGAAGATATAAATGTCGACGGAAGACATGAATATGGCAATAAAATTAAGATTTATTAATACAATTTTTGAGAAAATGTATATCGGAAAAACTAAATAAGTGTACCTTTTGGTACTAAACAGTAAACAATTTTTTTAATTATGATACTTTATAATAACATTAATAATATAATTCATTATCACATCAGGTTTAAACACGGTTATAGGAACAGCAAGAACATATTGGGTACATACATATAACTACATAGATGTAACGAATATTAATCTGAAATATCCTAATTCGACTCGTGAGGTTATAATGTTTTTATTGGAAAACAAAACTGCATTACACCAACATATTGAAATTATATGAGAATAAAACGTTTACACATTAAATTTGCACCTAGCATAACGAATTAGTTTTTTGTGATGTAAGAAATTTATATCAAATTGTGGATGTAATATTTTAAAATAACTGCATAAATTATATTGGCAATTTTTGCAGTAATAGAAACAGATTGTATAGTGTGGCCCATTTTAAATGGAATCATCTTTGTAGAAGAGATATTTATTGTCCAATCTCAGTTTTTATTTTGAGAGCTTAAGAAAAATTAGCTATTACATCAGATCACATTGGAATTTTTTATCAGTTATAAAAATCTACTTATTTTTGTATTACTGTCAAAGGAGGAGGGCCCCTAAGGCCGGTTTTTGGCCTAATTTATTTTTGGCTGAAAAAATCTGAAAAAAATTTTTTTAGTACCTACAAGCAATACAGAATCGTTTCCACCCTAAACGGACCAACCCCTCACCCTCCTTTCCCCCTCCACCCCCCTAAATGAGATGATACACATTTACATTGAATAAAACGAAAAAGAAAAAATAATTATAGGTATACAAGTTTGTGCATATTTGATTAGCCACTTTGAATTTCGTGATTCTGAATTCATAATTGTAATCAGTGATCCAAGAAAGTTTCTATAAACAAATATTTGAGGATTATGAAGATCTTGATTTTTTTGTCTGCCATATGGAATACGTCATTTTCGTAATTCTGCCTTCAGATTCGTAATCAGAGATCCAAAAAACCCCACTACACAAAAATTCATGCTTTTTAAAGACATTTTAATTCTTTTGTCCGCCATATTGAATCCGCCATTTTGAATTTCGTGGTTTAGAGTCCAGATTTGTAATCATAGACCAAAAAAAAAAACCGTATTACAAATAAATTCATGCATTTTGAAGACATTTCAAGTTTCTTGTCCGCCATATTGGATCCGCCATTTTGAATTTCGTGATTCTGAGACCAGAAGGCATTTGAGGGAGAAAGGAGGGTGAGAGGGTTGGTCCGTTTAGGGTGGAAACGATTCAGTATTGCTAGTAGGTAGTAAAAAAATTTTTTCAGCCAAAAATAAATTAGGCCAAAAACCAGTCTTACGGGCCCTCCTCCTTTGAAAAAATTAGTTTGATTTTTTTTTAATTAAAATGTCACTGGATAGAGATTTTTTTTTTAAATAGTTGTTGCTAAGTGTAAAATTTAAAATTTATGGTTTTTATCATTTTCTTTGTTTCTAAAGAGAGAATCATAAATTTAAAAAACACTTAAAATATTCACTAATTTAATGTATTTGATGTAAGTATTAAATAATAATTTCTGAATGAACCATTTAATATTTATAATTATAAATAAAAAAAAATCAACTACAGGCTAAATTAAATATTTTAAATGTAATTTCCCAGCAACCCTTAGATATTCTCCTCCTTGTTCTCTGTTGGATGTATCTCCCAAGAAAACTTTTAATATTTAAAAGGAGCAAACTGATGAGTGGGATTTTAAATTAAAAAAAATCGACTAATTTTTTTCAAATTTGTAAATGAAAAATAACAAAATTCGAATTTTATGTGAACGTAATAGAATTTTTTAAGGCATTGTATGTTTATATGAAGCATATAATAAAGTCCAAATTATATGCATAGTAAAGGAATTGCATACATTTCTCACTTGTAAAAGTTTTACAATTTATAGTAAATCCTAACATTTGAGTAATTTTTTCTAATTTAATTTCACAGGGTTCATAGTTCAAAACTAATAGATATAAATTCCCTGACTTCCAGGTTTTGCCTGATTTGTAAAAAAAATCCAGGCCACTTATAGTTCATTTTTACATACGTAATGATGTTTATGCATTAAACTTTTCTTAGACTTGACCCCAACTCCATAATCTTTTTTATACCCAAAGATCCTCTTATAAAGGTTTCGAAACAACAAACACTTTTCTCTTTCAAGAACTCTGGACCTGCTTTCACAAAATTTCCATTAGCAAACGTCAAATTCCCTGACATTCATGAATACTTGTAAAATTCCCTGACTATTCCCTGTTTCTTATTAAGAATAATCAATTCCCTGACTTTTCCCGTTATTCACAGTTTTCCAGGCTGCTACAAACCCTGTTTCAGTACAAACAAGTTTAGTTTCAAACCAAAAATAAAACACCTTGGACTAAATTGTCTGGTTAGAAAAAAATTACATGACAATATGGCAATTCGTCGAGTACACTTGAATTTGCCGCCATTTATTTGATTTCTAGCCATTTATGCTGATAGTCCTACCATGTCGATAAAGTATAAGTGTTTACCGAAGTCTTTCAAGTATAAGTGTTTAATTAATTTTATCAGTAACTTATCTTATTCTTTCATTATCATAGATAAATATAGACATTATTATGACCTATTGTTTAACAACCCAATTTATAAATAATTGATCACAATTTTCAAGACACTAAACTATATTTGGTTTCAAAATAAGTTATAAACTTTCCTTTCCATTTTCACATATTAAAAACTAATAATACCTAAATAAAAAATGTATTGCTTTCAGGTTCTTATTAAATCAAGTGATCTAGTGTAAATATTTTCCATTTCTTTAAGAATATTAAACTAGAACATACGCTGAAAGCAATGATAATGTGAAAACACTGGTGTGAACATATTTTTTTTGTTTTTAAAACATTTAAGATCGTTTTGATTTAATTGTAATCGCAATTTAGTTGCTAATAAATAGCCTTATAGCCGACCAATTCATCCACATGATAGAGCTATAATCCGATGTTGCCAGTTGTATTAAAATATGGGTATATTATTTTGTATGTATTTTTGACATTCTGGATCTGGGCTACACACAGAATTCTTAGAGACATAATGGTAGGGACAATACCTACTATCCATTAGGAATATTAAGATGAAGATAGATTTATATGCTGCGACTTAAGTTGCAAAAAGTAATTTAGTCGGGCAAATTATCGTTGATCATATTTTTATGGCATTTCAGTTTTTTTTTGTGGATCTTCCAAATTTAATTACAAGAAATGATCGTTTGTTGAACATATTGCCTACCTACTTTAACTAAAATAACTAAATGTTATTTCTATTTTCCTCATTATTACTGATGGTTTATGTTTTAATCCCACATAACAATATAGTAGTTAGTAGTAGTTAGTAGTTATAACAATATGGTAGTAATTTAATTCGAATAATACAACTCAAGGTCTAAAGCGGGTTTAATGTCCTTTCAACCTTGTAGAATAATGTGCAGATAATCTTGAAGCATTATAATTTTCTTTGAATTTACTTACGTAGCCGATATTCCACTTAAGATCCGATTCGATGTCCGAGAACTTGAATGGATAAAACTTAGTATACTCTGGTGAATTATAAAGACCGGTAGAATTGATTTGCACAGGAATTAATGTGCAAGCGGCAACGCTGTAACTTGTCCGATAAGGATTGGTAAATCCTGTTGGATTCTTGTCGCCGATCGTGGTCGAGTGAGAGCAAGTGCACCTAAAGTCTAGGCGGCCAGATGCGTCGGGCATCGCAGATACACAAAGGTAATGTCGAAAATATCCACATTGCAACGGTGTGGTTATCGTTTGTTACATGGTTGCGCCGATGTCGGTTCTGGATCGTATTGTTTGGGTGTTGATTCATTTGTTGTATACATAGTCTACTAGACATAGGCTTGACAGTTAAATTAGGTATGTTTCAGTGCCATTTTATTAAATATCCGACCACTAAAGAATGTTTATTTTGCTGTTTACTTCGAGTTGAAGTGTCCTCTGCGTTTTGTGTGGATCTTTTATGTGTCGACTTGCCGACGGAAGCTCGGATGTAAATTGTTTTATATATGAAACTGTGCAAAATTCGTTTTTAGTTTTAGATTAATTTATGCCAGTAAGCATAAATGTGGAATTTTATCCTATTATTTATCATATTTTCTAAGCGATCCAACCTGAGTAGGTATATTTTTAAAAATGAAACCGTGTTACTATTAAATACCTACTATCTAATATTAATCTACACTGAGTATATTTTGTGTTGTTTGTTTAAAATTATACTAACAATAATAGATAAACGAACGACTTGAACATTAAAAATTGAATAATATTAATTATTCGATGGTTTATTGTTAGTTTTTATAATTTCACAGCGCTGTAGGGTACATACCAACAAATTGGTAGGTACGTGAAAATATGTGGTTTCTCATCAAGTACTCGTATGTCATAAAATTGTTTTTATGATTATTCATTACATTGTTAAAAAGCCCACGACTTTGCGTTTATGACCGGAGTGCTTAAAATGTCCACCTAAGGATGCTCTTATGTTACATATTTTTACATTGGCAATTACGTATTTTTTATAGAAGTTTTTATCCGAAACACAAAAGTCGTTAAATGTCTCGGACTCATTAATTCTGTAATTGTTTAATATGCTACTTAATGCTTATGGAAATTTTTGGTATTGATTAGTCGTCAAACGCAGGTTCATTGCGACTGAAAAATCGAAAATACACTTTTATTACTTGCTCATAACAAGCAACTGACAAATAAACTATAAAATATAAAAAATATAAAATAAAATATAAAAA